GCAATAGCAGACCCTTCTCTACAAAGGGCATCTAGTAAGTGTTGAGCCCTCAAGCCATCTCTCCCGTAAGAAGTTCCTTTAGGGAAAGATTTGATGCAACCAAATACACAGTCAAAGTCTGCTACAAGGGGAGCTTCAGAAATTATGGGGCTCGGTATGGATGGGAGTGGCCTGAAAGGGTGTTTGTCCTCCAAAGCTTTAAAAGTATCACCATTATATGGCGCAACACCCGATGGGCATAACACTTTCACTGTTGTGGTAAAGTGCCCATCTGCAACCTTACGGAGACACTGTCTGATGTTGGTGTTACTTGATGTACACTCCTTCTGAAGGATGCCTCCACCCTGTCTCATGGCCCCAACCTCGAGATTGTCTAACATATTTTGAACTAACTTCCTGATACCATCCTCTTTCCCCCATGTATCCAAGGACTTCATATGGAGCTTTGCTGTAAGGATTTTATGTTCCCAGACCTACAGTCTTGTCTATTTTTGGGCCTAATCACCTTGTAAAGAGCAGTTTTCAAAGCCTGAGAGAAAGCATGGCGGCAACTATGGGGGGTAGACAAGAATGTAGCACTATATCACGAACACTTGTAACATATACTTGGGTTTAACAACTCCCAACAACTATCACATATAATAATTACACAATAACAAGGTAAAAGATACCTTCACGACCTCGTAACTCAACCCCATATCTCCCATACAACATTATAACTTCACTGGTATAATATCCTGAGAACGATTCCCGAGCAGCGTCTCCAATCGAATGTGCCAAAATCCCTTAAATGACATGAAAAATTGCATATTTATAACATGCATTGGTCACTTGGTGACCATCTAAGTGTCATTTCGTGACAATAAAATGTATCTAATTTCGTCACGTGTCTCATTCTCCAGCCACATTTCTCAGTGACTCGTCAAATTTCACGTCGTGACACATTTATTGTCATGTCGTGACAATTAAATAGACTTTGTTTCTCCACTTGTCACTCTCCGATTGACATGTGTATTAGTGATTCACTCATTGTCACATCGTGACAAACATACTTTCATGTCGTGGTGGTCAAAAGTTAACCATTGACTTTGAATTCGGTTGACTTTCTCACTTCCCTAAAGGCGGTGAACGAAAATGTACCTTTCCTCATCTCTCCTCACTTGTCTTCTAGATTTAGGGTTTGGGTGTGAGCCATTATAAGCATCATCCTTTTGGTGCTAGCTTTCTAAGCTCTTCAAAGTAAGGATTGAAGTGATTTGTCTGCTACAACAAATCAAATGTATGTAAATCTTTAACCTTGATTTCTTAATTTCGAAATTTCTAGGGTTCATGTTAGTCTTTTTTATTCAAAGTGTGTTGCCTTCAAAGTGTAAGAAATATATCCTTTTAGGTTGCATGTGTCGTTCTTAATTGAATAAAGTGTTTATCTACATTGTGCATATTGTTTTAACCTAATAAACCCATACTTCACACCTTGGTATAATAAGGTTTTCTTACTCTACTCAAATACAACATTTGAGTCACTACTCAATAATCACTTTCAAGGATGTCATCTTGTTCTCACTCCAACGATCTTGCTATCATACTATCAACCTATGACATCATCAAATCATTACGCCAACATGTGAGGTATCGTGACAAGCTGTGACACTATAAACTCAAATCGTGTCAACTTGTGACACTATCATTTAATTAGGTGAACCTGCGAAGTGTCAACAAATATTGTATCAACCTGTGATACCATCAAATATATTGTGTCAACTTGTGACACCACAATAAGGATAATGTCAGCCTATGACATTTCAAAGAGTATTCACCACTCTTCGGTGATCATATTACTCACATTTGATTACTCCTACTAGAAGTATTATTTACGTCCATAATCGACATCCAATATAACAAATTCTCATATTAGGGATCACACATTCTGTGAAGCTTCTCAATTCACATCTTCACTTACATACAAGCCATTACTCCTATTCACACCTTTGCACTCTATATTCTCTTGGAAAAACATCACGAATATTATAACATTATAATATACTTTTGCCAAGCACCATGCCATGGTAAACATCTCATCGTGCCATGGTCTATTATTATATATAATAATCTAGTTTCAATCCACGTCGCGAAAAACTCTTTCGTTTCGTGGTAACTTTAAATGTGTTACTTCATTTACTCATTTTCCATAATCATGTCGTGGTTAGAAAAGTACATTACTTTTATTTACTCTTCCACGTCATGTCTTTCAAACCGCCACGTCATGGTTTTGCTAAAATTTCTACCGGTCATCTATGTTCGAATTATATTCGAACTTCTCACATCACATGGGTACCACAACGTACACCATAACGACATTATATTACATATTCCAATAATGCTCACCATCACGTACACCGTAACGTCCAATTCAATACTATTAATCATTGTGTGCATTGTGATGTTCGTCACAACATCATTTTAAAAATTTATATATGTACACAATATCATACACCACAACTTGAACCACACCCGTTATCATAATATTTTCAATCACATACACTACAACAGGTACCACGACATGCACCGTAACACTCTACGCAATGTGCGTCATAACACTATTTATAAGGAATTATATATATATATATATATATATATATATATATATATATATATATATATATATATATACTCTTATATATTTATATATATCACAGATCCTTAATTGTCAACCAACAGACCAACTTATATCTACCGGGCACAATGGAATAACGTGTTCCACTTTACGGTTTATGTTTAGGATTTTGCCATATGAACCTAATTTACGTAAACCACAATCTGATACCAACTTGTAATACCCAGGTTTTCACACCAGGTACACCCCAAAAAAATTTCTAATATCATAATTTTTGCAAACATTTTGGTGTACATTGGCACACTAGAGCACAAGAAGCTATCACCAGTGATCGCGTACTGGCCACAAGTACAAGATCCGAGGTGGGCACTACTGCCTCTAACCTGCGAAACAATTACAAACAAACATCGTAAGCCACACGACTTAGTGAATGACAACTACAATAACAAATAACACACATGATCACACAATCATACAAATATCACACATATATCAAGCAATTCATCAACAATTTTATTCACGAATCTCGCTTAGGAGATCTAACCCATATCTCGTTAATTTACCATGGAACCTTGAAATGCTGCTCAATAACTATCACAAAGATCATCGTGTCAGCCCGTGACACGTCAAAGCGTAATAACATTGTCAGTCTGTGACACATCATCGAATAACAATAGTGTCAGACCGTGACACATACACGAATAACGTTGGTGTCAACCCGTGACACATCAACAAATAACAACGATGTTAACCCATTGCACATCAATAGCACCTTTGTCTTATAAAATTTACAACATGAATAACATACCATTTTGTGGTACATGTATATCTCTATAACACCGCAACATCAACAAAATGATATTTAATCATTTACACTACACATAATTCACATATTGTGACATACAGTTATCACAAAATATGGATATTAGAGAAGTGTTACTCACCTGGTTAGCTAGCAAACACATTATCTTCAGTACTTGACTTATTCTGCTTTCCAACTCGTCACATGCCAATACTAATCAACAATTATTAAGTTCCTCAGAACCCGTCACAATTAAATACTCGCTATACTTCGTGACTAATTGTCACCAAACTCATTACACTAAATAATACAACCACAATAGGCTTAACCCGTAAGCCAATAACTAAATCTACCACATCGGGCAACGTTAGTAAATCAGGGTTTACAACCCTCACAGTCCCGACTAATTATCTTACTGTAAGATTTTATTTACAAATCTTGCCAACAGGTTCGTAATAGCACCATATAACGAACACTTATAACATATACTCGGGTCTAACAACTCCCAAAAACTATAACATATAATAATTACACAATAATGGGGTAAACGATACCTCCATGATCTCGTAACGCAGCCCCATATATCTTGTACAACGGTATAACTTTATCTGTATAATCTCCCGAGAATGATTCCCGAGCAGCATCTCCGATCAAATGTGCCAAATCCACTAAATAACATGAAAACTTGCATATTTATAACCTGAATTGGTCACGTCGTGACCATCCAAGTGTCACGTAGTGACAATCAAATATATCCGATTTTTCCACGTGTCACACTCTCCAACCACGTGTCTCGGTGACTCGTCACATTTCACGTCGTGACAATTAAATAGACTCTGTTTCGCCAAATACACTCTCCGGTTGACACATCTATTAGTGATTCACTCATTGTCACGTCGTGGCAAACATAATTTCAAGTTGTGATGGTTAAAAGTTGATCGTTGATTTTGACTTCCATTGACTTTCTCAAAAATATCAACGTACTTTCATCTAATCTTCAAACAACCATAACTTTCTCATACGAACACCATTTTCAAAAAGCTTTATATCCATGGAGTCAGCATCACACGAACTACAACATTCCTCAAATATATTTTGTTAAATAACATTTCTCAAATTAAAGCAACTTAGGGATTTATCTTATCTGTTCGTTTTACAACGATCTATATCTCTTAGGGTAATGCTTGTTTAGGAAACATGTATTACATATACATCCAATAACCAGAGCTAAGGGAAAGAATATGTAAGAAAAAAAGTGGACATCGGAATACAGAACGATATAAGATGACAAGGTTTGTTTACATCCACCAACAACTTTGAAACAAGTGCTTGCAACAAAAATAATAACAATAATGAGCATGACCAACCGAAGCTCCAGGACTTATAATGACATGGTTGCAAGATGAGCATGGAGAACATCATTCTCTCTAAGGCATGCTTCATAATAAGACTCTAAAAGTGACTGTTGCTTCTCCAACATAACAATCCTTTCTGACGCTACATGGTACCTACCAGACAGATCGGCATGCATACTGCCAGCTTTCAAAAGCATTTCCTCCCAGCCGACTTCATACCTTTATCTGCTCATAAGTTCACTTTAGTAGAAAGATAACAATCACGCAACGTTAATAATTCATCATAGAATTTAAGCTCCACTCCAAGCACAGTTGATATAATGGTCTCGACACGAGCAATAAAGCGACAAGCCTCATCGAACTCTTCTTGGAACAGGAGATAAGAAGCACAATCCTCTACACATAAGAAATAAAAGAGTAAAATAAAGTACAAAAAGTTGTAATAATAGGAGCAACAAAGACAAATCCAATCGTATTTACCAACATCAACATGAGGAGGATGGTCAGATAATGAATAAGGCATACAAAGAGGAGTCCCCAAAACTTCAGGTAAAAAGTGCTCAAACTAATAAGGTGTTAATGATCGTTTGCAATTACGAGTTGGAGGAAAGATACACGAAGGAGCAACATCTGGATAGGCATTGGGACCTACAAAGAGTGGAGCAATAACGAGGGAGCAACGAGCCCCTGAAAAGTTGACCAATGGAGAATGCGTCGGATTCGAAGCCAGGTAACCTCAAAGGCCACGCGGGCAAAACATTTGTTGGATCCAAGTCCTTATCGGGAACTACAACTTCCAACATAATGGCTTGTGGAGATATATCACCAGATAAATATGAAGTCAAGTCAAAAGAGCATTTACTACCATCTGAAACATGTAATGGACATAGAGAGAGAAAAAAGAACAACTTTTATATCAAGTGGATACTTAAATATTAAACAAGACGATTTACTAAATCAGGAAAAATGTATTATTAATCACAGACCAGAGCAACAAACTAATAAAACTGGTAGTTGACCTTGAGCTTTCCAAATCGGGATCATATGGCACAATGCAAGTACATCTTCAGAAAGAAAATACCTTTTTATATAGAAACGAGAAAATTAATAATGGTATTATTCAAACAATTCAGCAGACAGAGATACCAAATCATCCAATTGAGGCACTAGTTCAGCTTTGAAAAGAAGACACAAACTATGCGTATCTACCCAACAAAACTTGCTTTTCCAATCGCCATTCGTACCAAGAAGATCAGGAGAAAGGGGAAATGAAGACTAGTGAAGGAGTACCAATCACCATACTTCTTCAAATGATAAAGATACCGAAATAGTAGGATTTTCAATGGAATATGGCAAGAAACACAAAAGGCTTCAAAAGTGAGAATATTAGACACAACATTCGGACAAAGTTGTATAGGTTGAATCCTATAAAGAGAAAAAAGTTCTAGTAAGAATGATAAAGGAGGAAGCATTAAACCACACACAAGGTGTCTAAGGTATACTCCCACTGTACCGTCAGGGGCATCAAGAATGCATGAGGATGATAACGGAAGAGTAACGCCATGAACTTAAGAAAGATGATATCCATGCATGCATCGATCGAACATAAAACTGTCCACTTCGTAAAGAATGGATGACCTGTCACACGTCATGCCAAAAATGACGTGAAAGGAGAAGGAAGATAGAGAAATGGAAGTTTGGAAAAAAATAAATACCTGTTAAATAATGATGAAGATAAGTTAAAGCATTAATTAACCAATCTAATCAAATAAATGGATGTGGCTTACTGAAGGCGTTGGCATTTAATGCAAACCTGTATACACCATGCACAAAACGAGTCATTAGCCAAGGCGGATCTCAAAGTCTGAACCACAAAACAATTTCACACCATTCTTTTACCCTTCAAACAAGGGGGCTTAATGGTGTACCCGGGCCGGTTAATCAAGTAAGCCCATTACCGACCCACATCCACCAGGACGACCTGGAAAACTTACCAAACACAAGCATAACCCATCATAAGTTGATCCGGACCTGGCCAACCATACCCCAACCATATATTGACAAAAGACACATGATCAAAACCAGATTCACAGGATAATACCAAAGCACAACAAATAAAGAGTAACATATCCTTGGATTCATGCAAAGACAAGATTAGAAGCAATAAAATAAGAAAAGTGTACACATGAGGCAGCACCTTTTATCCATGTAATAAGGGAAGACCGGATAAAACCTTATACCCTAAAATATAAGGAAGCCTATAAATACCTTTATAAACATGGCACCAATGTAAGTTCTGTGTGGAATAATAAGCAATTCTTAGCAATTTACTTGTCTGACATCTAACTTAGGCATTGGAGAGCAATATCGGGTTCCATCCCTCAATATAGCATTCTAACCTAGCGATTTTCTATTCTATGCAGTAAGATTTCTCGTATGCTCATTAGTTGAAGTCCCAGGAGGATAACTACCAATGCACCAGGAATTCTGCATAGCAACGACGAACCAAAGAAAAATCAATGAAGACACAAAAAATAAAAACATTTAACAATTTAAGAATAGAAACAGTAAGAAATTTACTAACAATGAGAAAAATCAAAGCTATGGTTTTCAATTTTGTACCGGAGCAGTAGGAGGAAGTCGCTGGTTGAAGCAAGAGATCCTCGGTATCTACTTTGTGTTCGTCATCTGCCCTTTGGGTGAAAGATGAGACAACTAAATATTTGAAGGAAAAGCATGGTGCGGGAGAATGAAAAAAATTAAAGGGGAAACATTGCTTGGGAACGAAATGTGAGGTAAGTTCTGTGTGGAATAATAAGCAATTTTTAGCAATTTACTTGTCTGACATCTAACTTAGGCATTGGAGAGCAATATCGGGGTCCATCCCTCAGTATAACATTCTAACCTAGCAATTATCTATTCTATGCAGTGTGATTTCCCGTATGCTCATTAGTTGAAGTCCAAGGAGAATAACTACCGATGCACCAGGAATTCTGCGTAGCAACAACGAAGGAATTCTGCGTAGCAACAACGACAAACCAAAGAAAAATCAGTGAAGACACAAAAAATAAAAACATTTAACAATTTAAGAATAGAAACGGTAAGAATTTTACTAACAATGAGAAAAATCGAAGCTATGGTTTTCAATTTTGTGTCGGAGCAGTAGGAGGAAGTCATCGGTTGAAACGGTAGGAGGAAGTCCTCGGTATCTACTTTGTCTTCGTCATCTGCCCTTTGGGTGAAAGATTGAGAGAACTAAATATTTGAAGGAAAAGCATGGTGTGGGAGAATGAAAAAAAAAATTGAAGGAGAAACATTGCTTGGGAACAAAATGTGAGGAGGGAAATTGAACGCTTAATGATGCGATTTTGAAGCAAACATAACAATAAATACGTGTTTAGTGCGGTTATATGAAAACCGCACCAATAAATGTTTATTGATATGAAAGTAACTTTTTGGATTTTTAATAATGAAGTTTTGGGTTATCACCGCACCAAAACGAAATACTCATCGCATTATTAAAATACATTTTGTACTAGTTTGGATTTCTAACGGAAGATATTAAGAAAAATTGATTTTCTTTTTTTCTAGCAACAACTTTACATATGCTCCAAGTTTCAAAACGCATATATAACCACATAATTGTATTTTGTTTTTCGTAAAACCCTACTTCTTAAATCTTAAGAAAATCATGCTCATCCAAATTCAAGAAACTTATAGCTATCTTGCCACTCATTTCTCTTTTGTGAAAGGATACGTTGGTAACCAAGAAAATGATAATATACTTGCTTGTTTTAGCAAAATCCTACTTATAAGAAAACCACATGCAAATTCAAAACCAGATACAATCCTTAGAAGAACATTAGTTCATTAATATATACTTGAAAATGGCATCACTATCTTACTATATTCATACATTAAGCATGTACGGAAAATTCAAAGAATAAATCTCTAATAAAATTGTTAGTTAAACAACTGTGGAAAACAGTAAGCACCGCCCATAAAGCTTTCTTCTATTGTGTTCATGGAGCTTATCATTTGTATTCGTCGCTTCTTGTGCATGTTTTCTACTATCTCAAACCCTTCTTGCAGCTTTCTCTTTGCTGCTTCCACTTTCTCCAACAAGTCCATTACTCCGCCATTTCCAATCTTTGAAACTTTTTTCTGAACCTTCCAACTTCCTCTCCGTATTCATATTCAGATTCGTTGGCTTTACTAGCTGGGATGACGTTAGTTTGACATCGTTTGATTCTTTCTTGAGCCATTCATCCACTTTGCGTTTCCATGATTTCATGAGTGTCACTGCAATCCGGCAAACTTTCTCCGATGAATGCTTTTTAAGAGCACTGACCGTTCTCCCAATCATCGTTGCCTCCAGAGTTTTCATGGATAACTCCATCGACTGAAGCATCTTTAACAACTCACACACTACCAATTCAGATTGAGATTCATCTCCGCTCTTGTCAAGAATCTTCTTCATCTTCAAGACCTCAGCAACCGTATCCCCAAGATCGTCAACTTTTTCTTCAGGAGTCACTGGACCCTTTTGAATTTGGAACTTCGTTTCTGTATTCAACTTCAGCTTGATCGCCATCGTCGGCCGTTGCTGTTTGCAGGTGGGTACGATTTGCTTCTCCATCGGTGGCTTTCCATGGCTATTGTTCCGTTCCCAGACTTCTTCCTTACACAGAACAGAGCTGCTCAACACCTCTGAAACTAGTTTTGTTTCATCTTCCATTTCATGACTTACCTTTGGGCTCTGTTTCTGACACTTATCACATTCGTAGTGCTTGATCAACTCATCGGATAACAGAATCAGAGCAATCTTGTGTCTTCTACTTTGGAACTCCGTTGGTTGATCTGAAGCAGCCACCATGATCGCTCTCTTGATGATCTCAAATATATCCCCATTTTCACCTCGTAAGTAGTCCCTCCAGTCGCACATCAATGCAGCACATTTAGAGTCTTCCATCAGATTATTAGTTGTTTCTTTAGGTAAAAACGTTGATTTGGATGACACCCAGGTATCAAGAACCAGAAGTGTACTCGAGCAAAATGTTTGTTTAGTGTTGTGATGTGATATGTGAATGAGGTGGTTTGTGTGCAGATTGGCTGCTTTAAATAGGATTGTGATTGAGTGCTGAGGAAGTAACATAGGAGTAGTGGTTTCCTGATTATTTGAATTCGGAAAAATCATCTCTTCTAATTAAAGATCTTTCTATATTTAAGAAGTTACTCCATCGATCTATTTTGCAGTTATTAAGCACTTGATTGGCAGGCAAGATATTAAAACTTACATCGTTTTGGTAGGTGTCATATGTACTTACCATACTTTGCAATGACATTGTCAACTCATTTTTTTGTCTCATAGAGAGCTAGTGTCATACCACACCTTATCACACCATCACAATAAACACATTTTTATGCATGAAATACAACATTTGAAGGTGTATATTTTATTGCTTATACGGTAAGGTTGGAACACACTATATGTATACCTCACTTTTGTTTTGGGGTCGGTGCGGTATTTACTGCATGCCGTACTATACCACGGTATGCGGTACAGTGCAAACCGTATGATCTTATGCATGGTAAAAATAACCATGTCATTAATATTATTATTCAATATTAATCCATACAACATATCTATTTTTATGTTTTCACTATATAATATAATTAATAAATATCCTTTTTTATCATTTAATATAAAAACCTTTTTGTTTTTACTATACGTATAAAGTTTATACACAATTAATTAAATGGATCAAACTGATAAATTTAATATTTTAAATGGTTAAAAAGAATATCTATAAATTACTTAAATGATGAAAACATACATATTATATATATATATATATATATATATATATAATAAGATAGTTCCCTTAGGAAGAGTACTTTGTTCATATTGGACCAAAATCAATATCTTTTAAACATAGTTTGTTCCTCTTTTGCCCGAGGTCGAATTTCCACCGTCTATAGAAGCCAATAGGAATAAGATTAGTGTCATCGACTCAACATCCATTGATCCAAATACCTTCCTCTTCTTTCATACGTCTATTGCTCGCCTTCCCCACTGCTCTTCTTAGAAAAAATAGACCACCGACCAACCGCCTAATCACCTAATATCGACGTCTCACATCGATTTGTATTAACGGATCCACCGAATCCCTTTCTCATGTTCTCTCAAACGTTGTAATTGGCAGGGGCAGAGAACCCGTCGTTGTCTCGGCTGTGCTACCGGAGGCGTCCTCCTCTTTCTCCGTTGTTTTCCGTTTCTACTTATAGGTAACGGTTTCTTTGATTTTCCATTTGTTAAAACTTATTTTGTGATTTTCTTTGTTGTTTTTTCGATCGGTCTTCGGTGTTGTCGACAACCTGTTTGCTTTGTTTGCTTTCTGGTGGTTCTTTTGTCTTCTCTATTATTGTGTAGTTCTCGACTGTACTTTATGATATTTGTTGTTCATTATATGTGTTTTTAGGGCGGTCATTTTCTCTATGTGTATTTTTTGTTGTCGTTTTCTATATTTTTGATCTTGTGGATATTCTCTATATAAACTCCATACTGTTTTCTCATTTTTGTTTTTTTGTTTTTTTTTCGCGTTTTTTGGTGTCTTCTCTATATAAACTCCAGTATTTTGGGTAAGTATTGGTTCTTACACAAATTTTTTTTTGTCTTACTTTGTTTGTTACAGGGACTTGGTTGTTTTCTCATTTGTGTCTTATTTTGTCATTTATTCTTCTGCTTATGTGACCTTGTAACACTTGAAATAGGTATGAGTCCTTTGAACCCTTCGTAATTAAACAATCGTATTTTGTTCCTTGAGGCTAGTACGTGGGGCGTACCATAGTGTACGCTTAGCGTACTAGATGGTGATGGTCGTAGGCATTGCCCACATACGCTAGGCGTATGTGGGGTTACATCGGGAGTAATCTGGTCAACTTGAAACCCTAATTGTTAGGATTTCACCCCTATTGAAGCTCATTAAGTCCCATGAGCTTGGCCTCTTACCAAACTCCATATCCCCTAAACCCTAAATTTCGATCATTGGCCATCATTTTGTGTCTTTGAGCTATTGAGAAGAAAAGTTGGTGTTTATTACTCATTTTGAAGAGATAGAAGAAGATTGAAGGTTCATTGCTTGGTGTGAAGCTTAGAGATCCAGAATCATCTTCCCTTTTGCAATTTATTTGAGGTATAAAGATCTTATCTTGCAAACTCCTTATATGGATCTTCTTTTGTACTTGTTTATGGCGATTTTAGTCGCTTTTGGTTTGTCCTTGTCAGCTAGTGTCGTTTCAGAAGCCTAACCTTGTAGATCTGGGCATTTTAGGGTCCCCTTTTCTATAAAAATGCAAGCCTGGAGGTGTTTATGGACTCATGCATGTGTCAAGACCCCTTTGTTAAGTTATTTTGAGCTTTAGAGTCCCAATAAGCCATGTATGCACGTAAGGTTTCCAACTTTACATGATAAGTCAACTTAAAGAAGTCAGCTCTAGAATATGAAGCAATGACTGAACGGCTTAAGTGATTAATAAACTTGTTAAAGAACCTGGGGAGTATGGTGCGTAGCGTACTGACCCCGAAGTGGGTACGTTAAGCGTACCATTTGAGTACGCCCCACGTACTCAGTAGATAGGCCAAATGGGCTTAACATTCTCGGTTTGGGCCATGGAGGGGATTTCGTAAGTTGGGCCTTGTCGGACCATTAAACCTTTGTTTTGGGACTTTGGCAAGTACCGTGGGGTTCCTTTTGGTTATGAATCGATAATGGACTTTGGGACCAATTTGGAAAATTGGGCCATATTTAGGCCTTGAAGGATTATTTTGGAAATTGGGCTTTTTGGACATTTAATTGGGCTTTGGCCTTGGGTGATTGCAGAGCACACACCACCTCGTTCCGCATTTTCTGATTTACTCTGATACGATATAATGATTGATACATTTATTTTATCTGGATTTTTATGATGATGTTTTTAGGATATTGGTTTTATTAATTTAAAAATGAAATTTTTGGGTCTTATTTTTAGGAGGTTACAAGTTGGTATCTGTGACAACCGTCAATTTTGGTCAAGCAAAGTCAAACAAAGTCAACCAAGTTAACACAACTAGCATTAAGATTTTTAAGACAAAAGCTAGGTTTCCTAATGTACGAGACTTGCAATTATAATACAAAGTATATATATATATCTCACTCTCTCCAAACTCTCTCTATCTCAAATCTCTCTCTATATCTCAAATCTCTCCCAAATTTCTCTCTATATCTCAAATATCTCCAAAATCTCTCTCTATATCTCAAATCTCTCCCAAATCTCTGTTGATAATAAAAATAACATTTCTCACCCTGGAACACTTCTCACCCCGGAACACTTCTCACTCCGGAACCTTCTGACTCCGGAACACCTTATGATCTCAGAACCTTCTGACTCCGGTATATCTTCTGACTCCGAAACTTCTGACTTCGGAACCCTCGCATGCTTCGGAAGAATCAGCCACACCGGACAATTTCGCATCTCAGAGCCTGCTGTCTCGGAGCCTCGCATCTCGGAAGGTTGTGCACTACGAAAATGAACCATCTTGGAAGGATTCCGACTTCGCGTACACCCACTCCGGACCTTCTGACCCACTCCGGACCCCTCGCAACTTCGGACCCCACTCCGGATTTTTGGCCATTTCAGACTTTTCTTCATTTTAAGGGATATTTAATGTTGGGATTCCATCAAACTCATATTTTTCCCAACTTAGACCCTCTAATCTCATATTTCATGCCCATATTGAAGCTTTATATATATAAAACACATTTGCATAAAATAATATCTAAAGTTAAGAAGATATTATATTACTTTATACATAAAGTATTAACACAAGTGGATCCCCCATCATGACCTAAGTCTTCTTTATATCACTTCTCCTAGTCTTCATTGGTCAATCCATTGTCCCCCTCATAACTCCTCCCAACCACCCACTCCACTTGCATTACTCTTTCCCTCTTATGCTCACGTTCAGGAGATAATTTTCCCATTTCACAGTCATCTTCACTTCTCACTTTTCTCTTCAATAAAAGTGTAAGTCCCTAATCTGCTTGTGTATCAATCAGATCCGTTTGATGGTGCGGAATCCCAATCAAACGGATGATGTCAGATCAAATAGAAGAGAAGGAGAAGAAGAATAATATGAATCTTGTATAGTATTGATTAGAATGAAGTTCCCTTACAAGATTCACACACACTAACACACACTCCCTTCTCTGTATTCCGTACACTCTCTTCTATTCATCAATCAATTCCTCACACCCCTCACCCCTATATATACTAGACTGGGCCGCAAATTGGGTTTACGGCCGTAAACGGAGTTTACGGTCGTAAACACCCATTGGGCCGTAAACAGAGTTTACGGTTGTAAACCTGTTACGGCCGTAAACACTATCTGGCCGTAAACCTGACTGTAAACACATAATATTATAGAAAATTACAATCAACTAGAAAAGCAAAGTAAAACCATATTTTTGACCCAACAATCTCCCCCTTGGTTTATAGCTTTCTTTTCTTTTCTTAAATTGAGTCAGCAAGCTCCCCCTAAAAAGTAGCTGGCTTTTCTTGTTAATCTTCATTGGGAGCTTTGGCTTCAGCTTTAATCTTCGACATCTTCATGACTTCAAGATGAACATATGAATCTTCAATGAATGACTTCATCTTGAGTAGTTGGGCTTTTCTTCAGAATTTGGCTTTGAACGCACGTTAGGTGAGGAGGCTTTTTGAAAAGATTCTTGAAAGATAGCGCTTTCAGCTTGAGAATCTTCAGAGAGAATATCAGAGAGAACTAATCTTCTGGATCACTTCAGCAGGTTCATAGATAGCAGCAGACTGATTGGGGAGGCTTCAATGCAATCCGTCACATAATCTTCAATTTCAGCTTCACCTTGCTTCTGGGGTTGAAGGATTGAATGTCGAAAGAATAATCTTCATTTCTTGCTCCTTCGAATGAGAATTCTTCGATGCTCACGGATGGAGCCTTGGCTCAGAAATCTTCGACACAAACTCCATGAGTTTCATCTTTACGTGAAATCACTTTTCAAGACAAAACAAAACTAAAAGAAAACTTAGCACACAAATTAAAACAGAAACAATTTTTTTTTTTTTTTTTTTTGGATTTTTCATATTTTCTGAAAAAGAAATAAAACAGAAATAACACTATTT